TTATTTATATAAAATAATTTATAGCTAAGTTATTACAATGTGGGATATATTATACATGTCAGATAAATATGATATAGTGAATAATGTTGATATAACTGAGAACTCTGCTATCTCTGTTATCTCTACAATCTATATTGAGTCACATGATTAGAATTAAGGAATTAAGAAATTAAGGAATTAAGGATAATTCCGGACCATAACACCATTCATTGTGATTTTCTTGTTGTTTTTCTTTTTGAAATAGTGAATTATTTATTGAAGTGTTAAAATTTTTAGGGGTTGAGTCAGTAGAAGTTGAGTTATGTATAATTTCTGAGTTATAATCATATAATGTTTCTAAATTTTTCTGTGTATTCAGTGAGACTGAATCAATATTTTTGAGATTTAGATTATCTTGTTTTTGAGATAAAATTTGGCTAAGTGATGAGATCTGGCTGTGTGTTGAGGTTTGATTATGTATAGAAATAGCATCATTATCATAGTCAGTTTCTATATCTGATTGTATATCAATGGGTGATATTGCTTTTTTTGACATGCTGCATGTAGTAGAACATTTTGCATAATTATATGGAGTATTACGTGATTTTTTTGATTTTTTATTGGCTGGTTTTATTTCAAAATCAATTCTGGTTCTATTATCAGTTGATAGATGTTTTTTTGAGTTTGAAGAGGGTGAAAAGGTGAAGAATTTATTAGTTATACTGAAAAGTAATAAAGTATTTTCTTCTTGAGAAAAAGACATGGTTGAAGTGAGAACAGTCAAAATAAGTAGATATAGAATTTTGTTTTTTATTTATATTTATATATTTTTTGTGGTTTTTTGTAAATTTTTTTAAAAGAAATAACAATTTGTGATAAATGACAGATGTGTAAAGAAATTGAAAAAGAAAAAGAAAATTTATAAAGAAAATTAATATTAAATTGAAGCTTTAACTGAGAGAAATATGTTGAAATAATAAAAGAAATGTGTAAAAACTCTTAATTATGAACTTGGAGACTTTTTGCAACTTGAAGTTTTGCTCCACCTGTGAATTAGAGATCTATAGGGATCTCAATTATTATTATTATTATTATTTCTATTTGCTACAGTGTAGTCGCACTTTAATTTTATGCTAATTTAACTTACAAAGTAAGAATTACAAATTAAGATTTAAAGAAAAAAACCATCAGAAAATCTATGATAGAGAATTACAATGTGATTAGTCATCCAGGCATGTCTGTGATTATATAAAGCCTATAGAATTAATAAATAAGTCATTTTCAGCTTGAAGAGTATATATTAGTGATATTATTTGATTTTCTTGGAGATCAGCAAGATCTTTATCAGAATATTGATTGTTTAAATATTTTGAAGCTGGATGTTTGCATGAACAAAGATTGTTTTTCATGTGAAATTGAAAGATATTAGTATTGGAATTAGAGAATATAGTTATTTTGAATCTTTCTGTTCTTTTTTTGAAAGTATGTTTGTGTCTGACAAAGATGGAATTTGATTTTTCTGCTTTAATTTGATCATTGCAATGAGCTAGCCAAATGTGGGTGAAACCTTGTTTGGAAATTCAGATTACAAATTTTGCTAATAAGATGAATTTGGATGGACCGAGTGAGTTAATAAAATTTGTGAGTTCTAATAGAATGAAGTCTTAAAAAACTAGCATATATCTGGATTTATGACTTATATTGGAGAAGAGATCAACATTGTTGAGAAAATAAGAGTTTTTTGTGAAGTTTTTGATTTCAGAGCTGAGTGAGAATGAAAAATTTTGAGTGTTAGTTGACGAGAAGTACTTTGTGAGTATTTTTTCGAGTTTGACTTGGGATTTGATGAGAATGGATTTGATTTGGTCACTAGAGTTTGGACAAGTCTATAAGTAATTATTTGTTTCTGATTCAAGATGACATCTGTTACATGTATCATATGGATATATTAATGGATAAAATTTGTGTTGATTGGATAGTGTTGGTAGCATGTTATGTATTATTTTGGTAAAGTATATACAAAATTTGGATGCGTTTGCTGAGGCCACTAGTGAGTTGATTCCTTTGTCTTGATTTCATGTGAGATTGGTTACTTTCCAATAATAATAAAGTATAATTTTATTATTAGATAAATTTATTATTAATTTATTACATGTTTTTAATTATTATTTATTATTCTTGAGATTCTGAGAGCTATTGAATCTAAGAGCTAAGTTAAGCTATTAATTTAAGCTAAGATACAAGCTACAGTCAAATCTCTCTATAGTTACCACTCTCAGAAAAGCAAAATTTGGTAACTATAGAGAGATTTTTTTATTATATTTATATATAAATGAAAAAGCAAAATAAGATGAGGTGTGATTATAAATAGATGTGATTATAGAGAGATTTGACTGTATATTTATATAAGTTATTATTACTCAATTTTCAAATATTAAAGCTATTTTTGATTGATATTAAGATTACAAAAAGTGCTCACTTTTTGGTTATACATTGCTCACTTGCTTGCTTACTTTAATATTACATAAATTTTATCATTAATATTAATCAAATTTGATTATGTAAATTAATAAATAAATCTAAGAATCAATAATATTTAATATATAATTGTTCAATAAAATAATAACTATCTAAAAATAACTATTCAATAAAATATAAATATGAAATTAACTAATAGAATATAATAAAATAT